CCCCAACCAGAACACAGGTGTGTGTGAGAGAACGCTCAACTCATGCTGAATCACACCGTATAACCTGCAGGAATAATAGTCATACTGATAATAATAAAAATAAGCTTTATTTTATTAAGCACCTTTAAAAGCGCTGAGCACTGTGCAAACAATACATCAAAAACACTCAAAATCAACAAGCAAAAGCAAATAACAAACAGCATAAACTAATCTTAATTAATGTTAAAGCTTTATAAATCTACACTCACCGGCCACTTTATTAGGTACTCTACTACTAGTAACAGGTTGGACCCCTTTTGCCTTCAGAACTGCCATAATCCTTAGATTCATTCATTGACACCATGCTTAATTGGTACTAATGACCCAAAGTGTGCTAAGAAAATCTCCCCCATGCCATTACACCACCACCACCAGCCTGAACCAAGCAGGCAGGATGATCCATGCTTTCATATTGTTGGGGCCAAATTCTGACCCGAGCATCTGAATGTGTCAGCAGAAATGGAGACTCATCAGAGCAGCAACGTTTCTCCAATCTTCTATTGTCCAGTTTTGGTGAGTCTGTGTGAATTGTAGCCTCAGTTTCCTGTTCTTAGCTGACAGGAGCGGCACCCGGTGTGCTCTTCTGCTGCTGTAGCCCATCCGCCTCAAGGTTGGACGTGTTGTGTGTTCAGAGATGCTCTTCTGCAGAGCTCGGTTGTAACGAGTGCTTATTTGAGTTACTGTTGCCTTTCTATCAGCTGGAACCAGTCTGGCCATTCTCCTCTGACCTCTGGCCTCATCAACAAGGCATTTGTGCCCACAGAACTGCCGCTCACTGGACATTTCCTCTTTGTCGGAGCATTCTCTGTAAACCCTAGAGATGGTTGTGCGTGAAAATCCCAGTAGATCAGCAGTTTCTGAAATACTCAGAGCAGCCCGTCTGGCAGCAACAACCATGCCACGTTCAAAGTCTCTTAAATCCCCTTTCTTCTCCATTCTGATGCTCGCTCTGAACTACAGCAGATCCTCTTCACCATGTCTACATGCCTAGATGCAGCGAGCTGCTGCCATGTGATTGGCTGATTAGAAATATGCGTTAAGCAGTTGGGTAGGTGTACCTAATAAAGTGGCCGGTGAGTGTCTATTATTATTTCAAATGTTTTTTGAAATAATAATTTTCAAAACATTAATTTATTCATTCATTCATTCATTCATTTTCTTTTTGGCTAAGTCCTTTTATTGATCAGGAGTAGCCACAGCGAAATGAACCAGCAACTATTCCAGCATATGTTTTATACAGCTGATGCCCTTACAGCTGCAACCCAGTGCTGGGAAACTCCCATACACCCTCATTCTCACACGCACTCACACACTACAGCCAGTTTAGTTGATCAGTTCCCCTATAGCGCATGTGTTTGGACTGTGGGGGAAACCGGAGCACCCGGAGGAAACCCACACCAACACAGGGAGAACATGCAAACTCCACACAGAAACACCAACTGACCCAGCCGGGACTCGAACCAGTGACCTTCTTACTGTGAGGCGATCTGCTATCCACTGCGCCACCGTGCCGCCCACATTAATTAATATGTAACATATATTTAGATAATTAGACGCACAATTTGAACTTTTTTGTAATTTTTTGTAAACAAATGGATTGAGCTGTCTGCACCTGAAAACAAGACAAAGCACAATATCAGATGTCAGCTTCCCAATGTCTTATAATGAACTTGTGATCTGAATACTGTCTCTCATTGTTTAATGTGTGTGTGTGTGTGTGTTTTCCTCATGTTTCAGGTGTGTATTCTGCGGGTAGCGAGTTTGCGAACTGTAACGGGACCGTCTGGAATCCTCTGGGAAACGGGTTATCCTATGAAGACTTCACTTTCCCTGTGTTTGCTCTGAAAGACGAGAATCAGACGCAGGTCATACGGAAGGTGCGCGTATGTGTGTGTGTGTGTGTGCGTGCGTGTGTGCGTGCATGCATGCATGCGTGAGTGTGTGTAAGAGAGAATGAGAGCAAGAGAGAGAGAGAGAGATTTTGTGTGTTTGAAATGTGTGTGTTCTGTGTTCACTTCAGTGCTGTGTGATGATGTTGACCTGTGTGTGTGTGTGTATGACAGAGAGAGGGAAAGAGTGTGTGTCTGATATGTGTGATTGTATCTGTGTAAGTGGGATAATCTGTGTGTATGTTTGTGTAAATTTATGTGTTATGTGAGTGTAGAGTGTGTGTGTGTGTGTGTGTGTGATGTGTGTTTGATGTGAGTGTACCTGCATGCGTGATTTCAGTTTGTGTGTGTGTATGTGCACATAAGTTTGTGTCTGTGCATGTCTTTGTGCTTTTATGTGTACACTTGCATTTAAATGAGTGTGTGTGTGCATGCACGTGCGTGTGTGCGTCCATATGTGTGCTCGTGAGTGTGCATGTGTGTGCATTTGTGTGTGTGTTTATGAGTGTGTGTGCATGAGTGCTTCTCAGTATCCACTTTGTGATCATGTTAACGTATGTGTGTGTGTGTGTATGTGTGTTTGTGTGTGTGTGTGTGTGTGTGTGTGTGTGTGTGTGTGTGTGCATGCGCGTGCATGTGCACACCCAAATGTGTGTTAATGAGTGTGTGTGTGTGTGTGTGTGTGTGTGTGTGTTTGTGAGTGTATGTGCATAAGTGCTCCTCAGTATCCACTTTGTGATCATGCTAACGTGTGTGTGTGCATGTGGGCATCCATGTGTGTTCATAAGTGTGCGTGTGTGTGCGCGTGCAGTTGTGTGTGTGTATATGAGTGTGTGTGCATGAGTGCGTGCATGTGTGTTTGCATGTGCGCATCCATGTGTGTGCGTACAGTTTGTGTGTATGTGTGTGTGTGTGTGCGTGCATGAGTGCTCCTCAGTATCCGCTGTGTGATCATGTTAACGTGTGTGTGTGTGCGTTTGTGTGTGTGTGTGTGCAGTGTTATGAGGATCATAATCTGCGTGTGAACGGCAGCGCTCCTCATTATCCGCTGTGTGCCATGCAGCTCTTCTCACACATGCACGCAGTGACCGACACCGTCACCTGCATGAGGCGCACAGACCTGCAGAACAAATTCAGCATCAACCCAGGTACACACACACACACACACACACACATAAACACGTACTTACACACACAAGCACTCACATATTCACAGGCACACACACACACACACACACACACACATAAACCTACACAGACATACATTCACACCCACTCAATTACACACAAACACACTCACTTTTACATGCAAACACACACTCACAGATTTACATGCACACACACACACACACACGCACATGCACAGATAAACACACACATACAAACACACATTCATTCGCTCACTCACTGACAAACACGCACACACATACACAAACACAACTCACTTTTACATGCAAACACACACTCACAGATTTACATGCACACACACACACACACGCACACACACACACATGCACACACATACACACACACACAAACACACATTCACACACACACTCACTGACAAACACACACACACACTCTTACATAAACACACACTCTTACAAACACACACACAGTACATACATAAACACACTCTTACAAACACACAAACACACACTCTTACATAAACACACACTCTTACAAACACACAAACACACACACACTCTTACATAAACACACACTCTTACAAACACACACACACACACACTCTTACATACACACA